ACAGGATGGGTTTCAACACTGACAAGTGCAAGGTGCTACACCTGGGGAGGAAGAACCAGCAGCATACCTACAGGCTGGGGAACTCCCTTCTCATCAGTGCAGAGGCAGAAAAGGATCTTGGAATCATTATTGATGCCAAAATGAACATAGGCCAACAGAGTGGGGACACGGTCAGGAAGGCTAACTTCACCTTGTCATGCATCCACAGATGCATCTCAAGCAGGTCCAAGGAGATGATCCTCCCCCTCTATGTGGCACTGGTAAGGCCACAGTTGGAGTACTGCATCCAGTTCTGGGCACTGCACTTCAGGAGGGATGTGGACAGCATTGAGAGGGTCTAGAGGAGGGCCACTCACATGATCGGGGTCAGCAGGCCAAGCCCTACGAGGAGAGGTTAAGGGACCTGAACATGTTCAGCCTCCACAAGAGAAGGCTGAAGGGGGATCTAGTGGCCATTTACAAACTAGTCAGAGGGAACCAGCAGATATTGGGGGAGTCCCTGTTCCCCCGAGCACTACCAGGAGTGACTAAAAATAATGGTCACAAGCTCGCAGAGGGTAGATTCAAACTCGACATCAGTAGGTGCTACTTCACTGTCAGGGCGGCTAGAATCTGGAACCAACTTCCAAGCGAAGTGGTGCTGGCTCCTACCCTGGGGGTCTTTAAGAGGAGGCTTGATGAACACCTCGCCGGGGTCGTTTGATCCCAGTACTTTTTCCTGCTGTAGCAGGGGGTCAGACTTGATACTCTGCTCAGGTCCCTTCTGACCCTACCAACTATGAAACTATGAGCTCTCGTTAAAGCACCCCTGCCGCCATTTTGAAACACAGGACATTGAATACGAGACTCTGCAGCATGCTGGAGCATTCTAATTAGGATTAATCAAGTCTCCTCTGACATGTTCTAATCAGAATGTGTTGAAGCAGTGTATAGACACCCAAGTGTCTGGAACAGAAGGATAACAGGATAGCCCCATGCCATGGGCAACAGTGCTGCCCAGGGCAGTGCTGGCTGTCTCAGCGGCTATTTTTGTGCCCCCCTCAAAGTGGTGCCTGGAATTGCTGATATAGTGATTTCCTCCCCCCACAACTATGTTACTGATTTAAAACTAGTAGATCTCATTTTTTCACACCTTTTTTATGCTCAGATTGGAAGAGAAAAGTAGGCTTTCCTGCATTTTCAACTCCTAATCAGTGCCTCATGTCTAAATGCAGGAGAGGATATGGCTGTCAAAATCTAGCGCAGCATTTTAACAAACTCTGTTTCCAGTGGTTTTCCACTAATTTCCTAGGGTGACTTTCTTTAAAACTTTGGTAGTAAGTATGCACTGCTTGAATATTTCAATTAATTTAGATTATTTTAAAAGGGTACAATAATTTTAAATTTTACTATACATTTCAAATTTAATTTGAAAGAGGTTTATTTTTTAAATTAATTAAAATCAAAACCAAGGGTTTTTTTGTTGGTTTTCTTTGGGTTCTTTTTTTAAATTATCCATCCTACAGCTTCTTTTCATTACGGGAAAAATAAATGATGCCTTAAAAGAACCAAAGTTTGATCTTTCTCCTGGGGTTCCATTTCTTATTTATATTAATGATAAATACGAAGGGTCTATGGACTCTTAAGTAAAGTCTGGAAAAAGAAATGAGTTTCCAAGCTGGTTAAGGGAAGGGATTAAACCACACAAGTAGCCTAGAGGAGTGCAGATCTCCATAAACATAGGCACCAGAGGGCAGTTCCTCTAGCCAGTAAGCTTTGGTGGACTGAAACACCAATTAACATCATGACTGAATTTTGGCCATTGCTGCAAGGTTACAGTAGAACAGATTCTCAGGAGTATGCTTCCCTTGTTTAGTTTGCAATCCATAAAATTCTCAAGGGTATGTTCCCATTGTAAAATGGTTACGTTTATAATAAATGTTGAGACTAATTAGAAGCTTAACTATAGAAAACAGTGCAGGCACCTACACAGGGTTGGTTTTTTCTTTGGGGGAAGGAGGAGGGAGTGTTTGTTTTGACTGCATGAGGTAGCAAATCTTCTTAATTCAGAAACCAGGCAGAAGGCAGGAGTTGGTGGCACCTCAGGGCATCTTTTCAGATGCATGCACCACAGTGCCAGGCGCTTTGAAAAGTGCCCGGTACTGCAATGCGTACAGTTATATTAAGTGGTGAAATGCATGTCAGCACGGAGAAAATGGCGGTGGTCCGCTTTTGAATTAAAATAGCAAAGATGTTTTAGTTCAAAAGTGTACCACCACCATTTTCTCTGTGCTGACATGCCTTTTGCCACTTTTACAACTGCAAGTGACACAGCGCGGTGCGTGTCAGCTCACATGCAGCTCAGACTCAATTAATCAAATCTCCAGTGCATCATAGCATGAAAAAGTATATGTATAGATGCCCTCAGAGACTAACCAGAAAGTAACAAATTAGTCTTTTAAGTGGACATCTGCCCAGCTTTCTGCTTGACTTCAGACTAAAGGCCTTGTTACATGGTAATTTTGGGCAGTTCCTGGAGCCTTAACCCCTGGATTGTCTGCACATTAACACCTAAACTAGTTTTAAGCACTCGTTAGGCAGCTCAAAGTTATGCCACTCCTTGGCAGGACTCTCTCACCTGTGCTACCCAGCTCGTGTTACACTAAAGTTTAGCCGCTCTAGGCTTCACCTTAGCATAAACACCCTGCCTGCTTCCCTTCCCTTGCTGGCTCCAGTTGGGCCCACCACTCCCACCCCCACCTTCCCCAGCACCCCAGATCCCTGCTTACTGCCCCCACCCTGTTTACTTGTGGCTGCCCATGCTGTCTGTACCAGTGGAGTAGGCAGGAAAGGGTTAACCTGCTTGTGTGGCTGTTCCCACTGCCACTGCTGCTCTCTAGGCAGCTCAGACCAGAGAAGAGCAGCAGCCTGGCAGTGGCAGCAACAGCTGGGCAGGTAGGTTAACTCTTCCATGCCTGCTCCCCAAGGACAGATAGCACAGACAGCCACAAATAAATAGGAGGGAGAGTTGGGGGGAGCCCCGGGGACGGGGCAATGAGGGATGCCCCTGGGGACAGGAGGCAGGAGGTAAGCCCGGAATGAGAGGGGAGGCAATTCTTACCTTTCAGTCTGGCAGGCCCCTGCTGGCCTGAAGTGTGACTGCTGCAAACTTGAGCTAGCACTAACACCATTGGTGATGCATAGGGGGTGCATGTGGGTACATGTGTCACCCCCTGCAATTGTCTGCAGCCGACACTGCTGGCAGCACCTGCAGGCAGTTGCTGCCCACCACCCCCACCCCTTGCCACTGACACCGCTGGTGGCATCTGCGGGCAGTCACTGATTGCTGCTGGCCACCGCCGCCACTCCCGGTGGCATCTGCAGGTGGTTGCTGACCGCTGGTTGGTGCTTGCCACCTCCCCCCCTCCCATTGCCAACACTGCCACAGCTATCTGCAGGAGTTCCCTGCTCGCTGCCACCAGGCCCCCGCCACCACCACCGCTGCTGTCTGTGGGCAGTTGTCATGCCACCCCCACCCCCCCCTGCCTCTGGGGGCATGTGTTGTTCATGACTAGCACCGATCAATATTTGGTTGGCTCACTGTGTAAAGTATAACAAGCCCCTAACATGGTTAACCACCTCTCTCACTCAGAAACTGAATCACATGTGGTTTTCCCTTACCATCCTCACTAGATAGAGAAGGTTTAGCCAATCAGAAAAATGAAAAGAACTACCAAGTGACACAGCTCAACTAACCCTATTTAGAACTCAAAGCTGCACAATGACAGCTGGACCGATATCCTGACAAGGGACAAGAAAATGCAAAACTGCAGCAAAACGTTGACTGAAAGGTTTACAAAGATACACTGCACTAAAAAATTCGGAATGGGCAGACACCTCATTCTTTGTATTCTGATTTGAGTGTATAACACTATAAACCAAAGGGGATGGACCCAAGACAATAGAACTACAGAATACTTTTTGGTCCAGTTCTACAGTTCTCAAACTTACTGATGGTTAAGGGCAGGGCTGCCCAACTTCTAAGTAACCAGGGACCACGTGCCATGACAGCCACACTCCCCAAAGGATGTGCTACTGAGAGTCACAGGCCTCAGGCTGCACCCTCTTCCCTGCTACACTGCATGGGCAGCGCCCCCCACCCCACACACACACACACACACCACTGCACTGTACACACATGGGCAGCCTCCACCTCAGCTCTCAGGCTGCTGCGTCCTTTGGCACTATAGGCTACACCACCCTATTCCTTAGGACAGAAGCGGGAAGCAAAAGCTAAAGAAGAGAGGGGAGCCTAGAGACCTGGGGTGCAGAAGCAGACAGAGCAACAGGGTGGAGCAGTAGCCAAGTAGGTGCCCAGGGCCCACACGTTAACCCCTTGCAGGCTGCATGTGGCCCACAGGCTGCCAGTTGGACAGTCCTAGCATTTAACAGTTAGCCAGGAATAAGTACTGAAAACCCAGCATCCAATCCTATTTAGAGACTAGCAACCCCAGCTGGGACAACCTAAGAGTCAATCCAAGCCTCTTGCACAAACTGGAATCAAATCTATGAGGATCAAAAATGTGCCCATTTTAAGAATTATTAATCACTGTGAGGTTTGTGATCCAGTTTGTTAGCCGGTCCTATCCAGAACTGAAAGAAGAAGTTCTAAACTAGAGCAAAACAGGCTGTTCTTACATCTTATGCACTTCTCTCTTTCAGAGAGAATTTGTGTTTTGTTTTAGGTCTGTATCCCAAAGAGAGTGATTTAAAAAGCTATTCTAGTTTGAAATCTAACTTTGTTTTATCCTACAAAACACTGTGGGACATAAAAGAAGGGCACTGATGCCACTTTATGAAAACATATGCTTAATTTCTACACCCGCATAACAAAACTGACAGTAGGACATGCATCATAGAGGAAAGAAAAGCTGAAAATGAACAAAAGGAATGGCAGTGGCAAGAATACTGTTCTCAAGGGAATAAGGGGAGGCCAGCTACTGGACTAGCTTGCTAAGCATGTTAAGTCTGTCAAGCTTTCAGATGAACAACTAAAGTGCTTTTGGATGTTGACAAGCTGACCTCTTGAATTCCAACCCCTACACATTTCAGTGTTTCTATTATTTACAGTTTGCAACACTAAACAAAACTTCAGAATAGTTCACTTCACAAAAACAAAACAAAAACAACCTTTCATGTCTGATAGCAAAGATGTTGAGACGGGTGCTTTGGAATGAGATCCTCAGAAATCTGGTCGATACGGACTAAAATACACCCTGCTTTTTGATAGTCCTAATTCAGTCCATCAGCATTTTCTGTCCCCACTTGGCAGTTTTACCATGAAAATCCCAAGAAAAGTACTCCAGTATTTTGAATAGCATCCATCCACTAGGAAAGCAAAGAAAAAAAGGGGGGTGGGGAGCAGGAGGGGAAAAAGACATTTTTTTTTAAAAGGACAAGGAGCTAGTGTAAAAAATGGACAGAAGAATTGAAAAGAAGTAAGCAAAAATAAAAAAGTCCAAATTCTCTGGAAAAAAAATCTAAAACACCATTCTTGTAATTGAGGGAAAAGGAAATATACAAAACCTGCAACAGTGGAGAGAAATATAAATTGTTTTCAAGTTTTCCTACTACTATGCAGCCAATTCTAGTTACATTATTTTTAAAAAATTCAAAAGGATCCAGAATAGCTGAAAGACATGTTTTATGTTGATACAAATTGAAAAAACTAAAATAATAAATTATTAGCATTTTCATGCCATGTATAATTTATTACCAGGGCATAACGCTTGGTATTCCAATAATAACATTAGCTACAAAGGTTTATAACAGCAGTGTCAACAGAATGATTCTTCTTATGATAACAGTTGCATTTGCTGGCTCATCAGCTAGTTCTTTTAGGACTCCTGGGAGCAAGTTATCCAACCCTGCTAGTTTAACGACCCCTAGACAGCCTACTTGGTAACCAATGAACTAGAAGGTCACCATGAATTAGCGCCCTTCTTCTTTCCAAATACAAAACAGAAATATTTATTGAATAATTCAGGCTTTTCTGCATCTTTATTTGACAATTTTACCATTTTCATCTAATAACAGGTTTCTAGTATTGCTAGGATTATTTTAATTCCTAATGTACTTACATTCCTTCCTATAATTCCTTCCTTCCTGTACCCTGCCAGCCAGATTTTTCCGTCATGTCTTCAGCCTCCGTCACCAATTTTCTATACTTGAGTACTTCTGATTTGTAAAGATCCGTTTCTTGCATTGCTTCTATTTTCTATTTGCCTTTTGCCACAAAACCAGAACACATTTTTAGCTGAAGTTGTTCTCTTTCTTAATTGCAGATTTGAACATAATTAATAATCGTGATTACTGAACCCTAGATAATTGCTGACTTCCCATCCGTTGTTTAATTTATTAACATGAGGTACAAAACAGAGTAACTTCAGGTTGAATACAACACATTTACCGTTAAAAAAAATATTCTGTAATGATTCTTCACTACTCACTGCACGAGAGCTCCAAAATGTGTCTCCCAAAGTGAATTTCCTTGCAATATATTTTTTGTTTCTGCACATTACAGATAGTTGCTTAAGGGGTGACATATTCTATTCTCCCATTTGTACAGTGGTCTGTACCCCTCTCTTCCCCTGGGTTTTGCTAATTAACACATTGATATCAGTTCATTTAAGATCTTGTGGTTCTAAGATATCAGTGGGCGCATCTACACCTGCAATTAATTCAACTAAATAAACTCTGGCGCAGTTCGTGCCTGAGTTTATTGCTTCCAGGCAAATGTACAGATGTTCTGGCTTTTTCTCCCAGGGTAGAATTGGCCACTACAGTGAAAAAAAATTAAAACTGGGAATAACCAGGGTTAACCAGAGTGAATGTCTGTATATGCCATGGTTTCTCTCAGAAGACAACATGGTCCTCCATCTTCTCCCTCTCCCTCCCAGGGAGAGGCTGTATCACTCACTAGGCTGCTGCAACAGCATACTCCCACTTTACAATCCCCACACTGTGCTGCAGGGAAACACAGTCTGACCGTGGGCAGCCTGGGGCAGTCAGTGCTGCCCTATACACTGGTGCCATCTGTTGCCAGGCAGACAAAGGAATCACACTGAGATGTGTGCACAGGAGCTCCCCAGATACACAGTGCAAGCTCTCCACTCTTCAGGGTCTCAGTGTTCGAATGTCTGTACATGCAGCTCTAGCTAAGTTTCTCTACAAGAAGAACAAACCTGGAAGAATTCTCCCCAGTTATTTGAATGTGTGTACGCAGTCAGACTTCTATATGTCGCACACTAACTTCTAGTTTTCAAGTGTGAAAATTCTGGGCACCTGTAACAGAGCACAGGGTGCTCTGTTACTCCCAGAGGCGTGGCCAGCAACCAGGCAGCCTGCAGCTGGCTGTTATCCCAATTAGGCAATGATGCCTGATTAGGGAGCAGGGCTCAGCTGTTACATATAAGTCTGCTGCCAGAAGCCAGAGAAACACCACCAGCTGAGCTGCTGCTCAGTACAACTTGGAGGTAAGAGAAGAGCTACTGGGGATGGCAGGAGGCTCCTGGTCCTGGGCATGACTGGAAACTGCACCCTGCCAGGGAAGGCTGGCCTGGTGGGACTGTTCATGGTGGGACAGTCCCCCAAAAATGCCAGGCCTATTACTTCCCCAGTGAAAGGCAGGTAGGGGTGCCTGATAATCCCAGCCCCCACATCCCTGATGGATACTTTGATCATGACAGGGGGAGCCCAGGCTCACTGACAGTACTGAGGCAGGGTCTAGGCCAGGCGACAAGGCCTGAGGCAGTGCCCAAGCTCACAGTGCAGTCAAATGGGTCACTAACTGGCTGGAGGGCTGCACCCAGAGAGTGGTGGTGGGCAGGTCTTATTTGACCTGGAGGGATGTGGGCAGTGGGGTCCCCAGGGCTCAGTTCTCGGGCCTGCCCTGTTCAACATCTTCATCAGCAACTTGGACGAGGGGGTAAAAAGCACCCTGTTCAATTTCGCAGACGACACTAAGATGTGGGGAGAAGTGGGCATGCTAGAAGGGAGGAATAGGCTGCAATTGGATCTGGACAGGTTACAGGGGTGGGCAGATGAGAATAAGATGGGTTTCAACACAGACAAGTGCAAGGTACTGCACCTCGGGAGGAAGAACCAGCAGCATACCTACAGGCTGGGGAACTCCCTTCTGGTCAGTGCAGAGGGAGAAAAGGATCTTGGAATCATTATTGATGCCAAAATGAACATGGACTGACAGTGTGGGGACGCAGTCAGGAAGGCCAACTGTATCTTGTCATGCATCCACAGATGCATCTCAAGCAAGTCCAAGAGGATGATCCTCCCCCTCTATGTGACACTGGTCAGGTGCAGTTGGAGTACTGCGTCCAGTTCTGGGCACCGCACTTCAGAAGGGATGTGGACAGCATTGAGAGGGTCCAGAGGAGGGCCACCCGCATGGTCAGGGGGCAGCAGGGCAGGCCCTACAAGGAGAGGCTAAGGGACCTGAACCTGTTCAGCCTCCACAAGAGAAGGCTGAGTGGGGATCTAGTGGCCATTTACAAACTAGTCGGGGGGACCAGCAGGCATTGGGGGAGTCCCTGTTCCCCCAAGCACTACCAGGAGTGACTAGAAATAATGGTCACAAGCTGGAAGAGGGTAGATTCAGGCTAGATATCAGGAGGCACTACTTCACTGTCAGGGCAGCTAGGATCTGGAACCAACTTCCAAGAGGAGTGGTGCTGGCTCCTACCCTGGGGGTCTTTAAGTGGAGGCTAGATGAACACCTTGCTGGGGTCAGTTGACCTCAGTACTCTTTCCTGCCATGGCAGAGGGTCGAATTTGATGATCTTCTCAGGTCCCTTCTGACCCTACCAATTATGAAACTAGGTCACACTAGGGAGCCAGGAGTTAGGCTCCAGGGGGATGAGGCCCTGAGCTTTGGGGAGCTGTTAAGGAAGCTCCCGGGTGAAGGGATAAGGGTTAATTTACAGAGTGCAGTAGGACAGGGCTTGGAGCCCTAGTCCCATAATGAGGGACTATGTAGGCCCAGAGAGAAGCTTGGAGCCTGAGGATGGGGCTTGGAGCTTGGGGATGATCCTTGGAGCCCAGGGTGGGACCAGGATGCCCTGAGTCTAGATGGGAAATTTGATAAAGCTGGGTTTTGAGCCATGGAACAGCTGCAAGGCATGGGACACAATAGGGAAAGGTCAGAGTTGTGTACATAGGTCCTTATCATCAGGGCAGGTAAAGGGCAGCCACCCACCTGATTAATATTAGTCAATCAAGAATATCAAGGCATGGCAGGAAAGATGGGTGGGCGGTTTGGCCAGAAGCAAGTGGTCAGGCCTATGTTGAGACCGGCCCCGGGACACCCACATGTTACAGCATCTAAAAATGTTAAGGGCTTTGTTAACTTTAAGAGGGATGAGGAGAATAACTATTATAAATTTTAGATGGCCAGTGTACAAAGTTATCATGATAGATAGCAGTTGAACCAGAAATGAAAGCCAACAGAGTCACTATTATTTACCATATCTTTCTCCTCAAGTTACTAGTCCCTCAGTTTTCTGGGAGCAAACAGTATATAAAATAAAAAAAACTTCCAATACATTATAATAAAGGTATTACAAAAATCTCCATCAGGAAATTAAAGAAAAAGATTTTTTCCCCTTATTGAGTAATATCTGTCTTTGCAGGGACAATAAGCCACTTGTTATGGACCAGTTTCAGGTATTTTGGAGACAAGTGCAATTATATTAACTTCCATGGAACTGCAGGCTGTATGTTGTCCTTTCATGGATTTATTTCAAATGTTATACAATGACAATTATAATACTATAAAAAGAAAATCAAGTTGGTATACACTGTACTAAAACATATAGCCATGAAGCACATAAATGAGAAAGATAATTAGGTCAACATTACATTTTGTTCTTCTCTGAGTCAAACTCTGTTGTGCGTAGCTGACTGACATGGAATTCGCACTAACTGTGGTAGCTGATGTTCTGCTTGAGGACAGTATGCCAAGTAAAATAATGTCATCATCATTTCAGGATTTAGGAAGACATATTTGGAACTTGTAGGGGATTGGGCTCCAATATATTTTTCTTAGCACTAATTTCTATGATCCTATATTCAAAACAGACCCATCCTGAAAAGCTTGTAAAGAGAGAGCTTTGTTCTACCTGAGAGTAGAATCATTCCTCCTCAGCAAAATGAATGGCAAAAATCCCAGCAACTTTAGTGGGGCCAGGACAACACCCACATATAGAGCCTGATGATATATATTGTTTCTTACATTTATATTTTAAATACAAATTCCTCAGGAAAAATTAATACCTTGCACATGGTGTAGAAAGGTGCTCCAAGCAATTTGGAGCAAAAAGGCCATTATAGCTTTAAGTTCATTATATGAAATAAAATGTATTCCTTAAATTTATAAATAAACTTAATACACTCAAAAAGGGCAAATTATTAAATATTGGGAACAGATGGAGAAAATTCACACTGTGGCTACTTGTATTTACTGTGCTTTACAGCTAGTTTGGAAGGATGGAGCATGCATTCTTTTAAGCCACTCATATCAAATGAACTCAGTGGACCAAATCCCATGGCCTTCACTCAGGCTAAACTCCTACCTCCTTTATTAACTCAAATGGGTGTTATGTCTGAAGACCACTGGACTTGGCTTGGTGTCTACACCTTTATGCAATAAATAAAATAACTTATTTTAAAATCAGTGAGGGAGCCAGGAATAAGAATCAACTTTCTTGACTCCCAGTCCAGGCCCTTATCAGCTGGACCACATTGACTTCTGTTACGTAATCAGAAGACGAGCTCTGGCCAGAGCATCCTAAGCCTCACTCACAACTCTTCATCTTTGACCTCATCTTTACAGCAGTTCTAGAGCCCCACTTTCCCTCTGGCAAGAATATCACCTCTCCACAACCTCCTCTACTGCAGAGGAGCTGAAGGGCATCACTATTTCACTTGCAAAGAAAAAGTAGAAGCTACTGTTAAAGTGCTAAAAGCATTTTTCCTTGTTTAGCTGTTGTGTAGATGGCCCCCTTTTGGCTCTGTAGAAAAACAAAACACAAAACAAAAAAACAAGAGCAAACTGCTGGTGTCATTACATTAAAAAAAAAAGAGTTGATAGATGCAGACAAACACTATGAGCTTTTCTTTTAACCTGAAACACTGCCTGTGGGCCATCTCATCCAAAGAACCCTTTGATACAAGATAGGAACTAATTCTAGGGGTGGATCCAGAACTGCACACAGGTACCTGCTGATTTGCCAACTCGTGGGTTTTAAAAGTCTCCTAGCCTGCTGCTGGCACCTCTTGTCAGTCTCTGACAGGAAGATCTTCTTCTGTGAAGGGCGATTTGCACAGCAGGGGACCTGCAAAGCAGCTGCCGCAGGTACTGTAAAAATATAAGAAGCAAATCATATAAAAATGAGATGGGAAAAGAGAACAGGAGAGGGAGGGAAAGGCTTCTCTCTCCACAAAACTGGAACAGGGAGAGAAGAGGGAAGAAATGGAGAAAGTAAAGATGTAGAAACATCATTAAAATCCTGCAGCAGGATGAATAGGAGCTAGAAAGAGGTTTCAAAATGCAATCATCTGATGAAGACAAAGGAGAAGGACATGAGATAGAGGGAATAGGAATGTGTAGAGCAGGCCAAGTTGCTCCTATATCTGAAGTAGCTACGTTTCTGGCTAAGGTTAAGTTGACTAGGAACAGAAGTTGCACATAAACCAGTGTAAATGACCAGAAATTGGTTTAAACCTGTAACAGAACATAAGTTCAGTGTACATAAACCAGTTTCAAAATCGTCAAAACTGATTTAAGATAAACCTGAATGTAGTATCAGACTTTTGAGTCAAACTGGTTTATGGAGCTTCTGTCCCAGTCCCCTTCCTGGTTAAGTTAAACCAGGGTCCTCTAGCATCCCAGCGTGCTTTGCAATCCTGGGCTGGACTGGGCTGTGCTCTCTGTTCCTGAGAGCAGGGCTGGTCATGCCCCTCTGCTCTCTAGCCTGAGCAGGGGTGGGGCATGGCCAGATGCTTCCTGACATGGCCCCATTAAGGTGAAGTGGGCAGGGAGGGTGTTAATTTTTCCCTCCTTCCCGTCCTCCTCTTCACCGCAGCTGGGGTCTCCCTGATGTTATGTAGCTCTAGCTGGGTTGCAGGCGAGCAGTGGAGGCAGAGGTGGTGGCTGATGCTGGCAGGCCTCAGTCGCAGTCCCTACTGTTAGAAGGGACAGAGGAAGAAATTAACCCCCTCCCTGCCCCCTTTACCTTAATGGGGCTAGGCCAGGATGGCATCTGGTCAAGTCCCAACTGCTGGAGCA